CTCTACACCATTTTCTGTAGTCAGATTTTGGGCTATTAGAGTCTTAATCTTAGAACAATTTTATTTTCAAGATTTAGATATGCTTTTGTAGCATAGTAGTTGTGAATTGTGATACCATGCCCAAGTGTACCAATCAACCTTTGGTTTTTTGTTATATCGGATCTGCCATCCATCGTTATTCTGATGAAATTCTTTCTTAAAAAAATTTTGAATTTCTTTTTATATTCATTGTGCTACCCAATATACTTTTACGAAATCTTTAAAATATCTATTTGTTACCGAAGCTATGTTGAATTTCATTCTTGAAAGTAGTTATTTCATAATGTGCAAGCAGTGTAGTAAGTGATAGGATCCAAATCTAGGGTTCTGGCCTAATTAAGCTAAAGCTCTCCGATATTTATTTTAATGGTTGGATATAATAGTGACCTAGGAAAGCTTTTTCTAAATTAAAAAAAACACGAATTTATTAATGAAATCTTGGAGATTAATACTATTCACATGTCAAACTAACTCCACTTGTTTTATATATTTTCATCGATTATTTGATAAAATAATATAACATTGTCATCACTTGTTTCGTAAAACTTTTGATGTATTTTTTAATATATATACTCCGTAATTTTTTATTTTTTTAATTTTATACCAAATTTTACATATTGTTTTAAAAATAAATTTAATCAAACATCGTAACCCGTCCTATATATCCTCATACTCTTTATATCTTTATTTTATTATTTTAATGGGTTAATCTTCAAATACTTATTCTCCGAAATTAAGTCCTTGATAACCTACAATGTTCAACTCAAGACTTGCTCTTTTAATCTCCTTATTTTAACGTTTATCTAAAAGAGCTTCCAACAATTCATGCTAGCCTATGTGACTAGTAAGAGAGATTAGCCTAGACCCTTTGTCAATTTCTAGATAGACACGATATTCGGGAACGAACCGACCCTTCGGGAAAGGGTCATTTTCATTTCACTATGATGTCAAAGAGATTGAATTTATACATTTTCTAGGCTTCGTGAAATACAACTCTTCTAGGGCCCTTCTTTAAAGTTGTTATTTATACTACGCAAAACTTGTGTATGATATGACTGACGTACTAGGTCGGATCTGTGTCATTATTTCTTCTTTTAATGTGTGAGTTTGATCGGTCAACAATTGTTGCAATTAAATTGTCTGTTTTATTATTCAAAAAGTCAAATTTCATTTGCATTCTTTTCCTATTTTCGTTAGTCATTTGATAAAAATTATATAGTCATGCCAGTACTAATTTTGTAGATCTTTTGATTTGCTTTTTAAATACTCCATCCGTTCCTAAATCATTTACTCTTCATGCAAAATAAAATAAAATATCAAATGTTTTCAATTCATTTATTTAAAGATTGGTATATAAATAAAAATTGAAACTTACATATTTAAAAAATACATTAAAAGTTCTACGAAACAATATGTGACAAGAATATCTTATTTTATCAAAAAGTCAATGAGAACACACAAATAACCAAAACTTTCCGCAATTTTTGAATAATAAAGCGTGTAAATCATTTAAGGACAGAAGGAGTATGAAATTTTAATTTTTTTAATTTTACACCGTTTTTTATATAAAATGATTTGAAAATAACTTCAGTCAAATATCGTAAACCGAAACAATCAATGATTTGAAAATAACTTTACTCAAACATCGTAAACTGAAAAAGACAATTTAAATTGGGACGAAGAGAGTAGTATTGTAGAGCATCCGTCCCATCATAAAGCAACAATAAATATTATAATGATTAAATGAATTTAGTTTTTATTTAATTTATTTAAAAAAATGATACATATATTTATAAAAAATTATATTAAAAAGTACATATATGCAAAAAAATAACATAAATTTTAATTATAAAATAAGATCAAGTGACATGACTATACTTCTTCTGTGTTGTAAAAATGTTTCACATTTGACATGGCACGAATCATAAGAAAAGTGAAATTATGTGCATTGGTTTAAAATAATGAATATGAGAGAAGTTATATGGATCACAAAAAATATTTCAAAAATAGAAAGTGAAACTTTTTTTTGGACAGACATAAAAGAAAATTTGAAACTTTTTTGTGAGATGTATAGAGTACCCCGGAGTATTACACTTAGAGATGGCAACGGGTCAACTTCGGTCTAAGTTTTAGTATATCCAAATTCGCCCTGACTTAGGCCAGGTTAGGGGTTCTCTTTGTCGGATCGGGTTTGGATGTTTACTTTTGGGCTCAGATTCGGTTTAAAATACAGTCGGATAGGTAACAATCAAATTTGGGTTTCAATACTAATTAATGCATTCATGATTAAAATAAGATTGAAATACATTAAAAAATTAAAATTTTAAAGATGACATAAAAGTTTAGATATTAGAAAAAATAATTATGACCAAATGACTTCTAAAAAAATTAAATAGTAAATTCTCAACTACTAATATGAATCAGTTTTGTCAATGCGAAAGTTTCGGATATTGGGAAGATTAGATTGGATCGATCAGAATAAACACCTCTATTTGTCATGGGAAATTGACATTGGTGTCTGGAAAATAGCTTTTAGAAAAAAATGAGCACATCAAAATTGCCTTAGAGTAAGGTTTAGACGGCCAGGTATAAGCGCGGTTTCTTGTAATAATGGCAGAGGACACGAGTTTGGAATGATTTGCTTCACGCCATGATAAACGAGTCTAGACTTGCCACCGAATATAAACACATCTCCTGAATCCAACACAACCTTTTCGCACTTTGTTTTATCTCTAGAATGACCGTACAAGAACACTGCAGAGTCGCCAATGGAGATGGAAACCACAGGCAGTCCTCTTCGGAGACTATCATAGCTCTCATCACGATCCTACATTCAGAAAAAAACACACAAAAAAAAAGCTCAACTATTTCAAATCATTTACATACAAACTATATAGAAGTAAAATTTGCCCTCATCTCACCCTCCTCCTCATATACTCTACTCTCTCTGTCCCAAAAAGAGCCTTATTCTTTACGAGGATTGACTGAAATTATTTTTAAATCAATTTATTTGAAAATTGGTAAGGAATTAAAAAATAAAACTTATACATTTAAAAAGTACATCAAAAGTATTACAGAACAAGAAGTAACAAGACTACATTCTTTTCTCAAATGGGTGGCGAAAATGGGCAAAAAAATGTGGCTAAAGTTTGACCTTATAAATAGTATAGTAAATAGGTAACTTAAATTGGGACGGAGGGAGTACATTTTAAGAGAGGATATTTTACTATTACTTGTATGTGCATATAAAAACTAACCTGATGGAGGCCAAGTCGACCAGAGAGTTGATAGAAATTTACTATACAAATATCTGGGTGCATTGAAGGAAGTTCAACCAGATGGGCTTGAGCATCCTGAACTATGGTTTTAGTCAATGAAGTAAGTTCTTTTGGAAGCGGGGGTGGTTCAGAACCATCACTTCTGTAACTTTTGTTATACTTGGTTACTGGATCCCAGTTTCGACCAAAACACATCATCTGGAATTGAAGTTTCGCTCCATTTTGAAAACTAGGCTGGTAAAAGCCCCCGGGGCCCATACCCCACTTTTGACATACATTCACTATATCAACCTGAAAAATTAACTCTGAGTCAAAAAATTTCAAGTATTTCAACATTAAAATTAATTTCACTGTTCTTAATCCCCATATATGTTAGCCTTAACTTGTGATATTGCTTTTCCTTATAAAAAAACTAGTGATATTGTGAAAATGCGTAACAAGGGCCAATCACTCTACTTTAGCATAGAGCTTTTAAAGACCAAGAATCAGATAGACAAAAGGTGCAAAAACCACACAACTAACAAAATATACCTGGTCCTTGAGGCTGATGTAATTTTTAATAAGAATCATTCCGGATCCAAGTATGTTATAAGTTGGCAGTTTGCTGGCAGTCCTTTCACACACTGATTTTGTGGTCAGCTCAGGGCAGATTAAACTAAACGGTTTTGTTTCACCCAAACCTTTAGTGAATGGAATGTTGTGAGACTGTCTCGATATTCCGAATAAAGGACCACGAACAGTATTCTGCATCTGCAAGGACATACAGTAATTTGTAATTAATAATAAACAATGTTATCATATTATATAAACCATACATATGAACATGAAGAGACTGAATCGCTCACCCGAAAAGACAAAGATGAACGTAATGCTACCATTTGAATTGAGAAGGGCATGGTTTATAAATTAGCCAATCGGGGATCTAGAGGGTTAAGGCGGGCTCAACCTTTGTGAACGCCGGAAGTGAATTAAAAAACAGGGGCCTTTTATGTAAAATAAAAATGTAATTAGAAGTGAGACACACATATAATGAGGCTAATAAGTATAAAGTAGTGACTGTATTTAAGCTACCTTTACACGCAAAGATTAATTATAACCATACCACACAAAAAATAGCTTAAACTCAAATTATGCTTCAGGATCATAATAAATTGATTCTACCAAGTACCAACTATGGTTTACAATAAAGGTCATTGGAAACAGTTTGTTCCTAAGATGACACATTTTTAAATAAAAGTCCAATAAATGTCCAGTGTATCTAGTGCTTAGAAGCTGAGATAAATACCTTACAGATGTCCTAAAAGTAATCAACAAGGCAATGAGCCACGCCAATCTTCTAACCATTATGTCATTGTGTGATGGTTAAAGGATTTATAAGTCAATAAGTCAAAGAGTGAAACGTGGTTCCTGCATAATGAGCCCCAACATTAACAGCCCTTTTGTTCAATCAAACCTACATCCTAAAGGAGTCCCTAAAAATGATTAATTAAACAACATATAATGCGCAACCTGCTACTTCTAATGCATGATGTGCAACCCTTGCAATGTTGTCAATGTGCATTAAAAATTGCTTCTGTTAAAGATTGGTAAGGAATAAGGAATGAAAATATGAGAGCTAAAGTTGGAGTGACACCAATTGTAAGAAAAATAGTGGAAACTTGTCTTAGGTGGTTTTGACATGTGGAGAGAAGACCAATAGAGCATCCTGTTAGAAGGGTTGATCAAATGGTGAATATGCATGTGGCTGGAGGAAGAGGTAGACCTAAGAGGACTTGGCAGGCATTGATCAAGGGAGACCTTCATGTGAACAATCTCACAGCAGATATGATACACGATAGGGTGCAATGGTGTCGTTTGATCCATGTAGCCAACCCCACCTAGTAGGATAAGGCTTTGTTATTGTTATTGTTGTTGTTTTTGTTTTTGTTTTTGTTGTTGTTGTTAAAGATTGGCATTGCTGATGCACAACCTACTCCGCAATTTCTGTTTGAGAAATTTACTTAAATAGCACTAAAACATAATGACTTTCCCTAAATAGCACTACATGTGTTTTTTTCCAATGTAGCACTTTTAGTCATTATGCATTAGTCATTATTCAAGTAAATATTTGTCATCACTGGACATTATGGACATTATTAAGTGCTATTTAGGGAATAAAATATTTTAAGTGCTATTTAGAGAAATGACTTAAGTTTTAGTGCTATTTAGTGCAAATATTTCTTTCTGTTTTCCCAATAATGTCAAGTCTTATTCAGCTATCACCTCTGCAATGCTGTTCCATACTTCCATTAAACCTATAGAGTGTCCTTCAAATTTTGATCAACTTACAATTACAATGCACAGCTTACTACTTCTAATGCATAATGTACAACCCAATGACTGCAGCATTGTCCTTGTGTATTCAATCCTCAAATCATATGATATATTTTTACACACTAACTCCTAAGTCTTAATACATTAATGAACAGAGCCGGCTCAAGCTTTTTGGGGGGGCAAAGCAAATCATTAAATTGAAACCCTTTATATAAAGAGAAAAATAGTTTTCTTAATTATGGTCCACAAAATGTGAGAACCAAGAAAGGAAATCGACAGCATATATCTGCAAGGGTTATAAAATCATGTTATCTTGCAACAATTACAATTTACGGGCATATCGTTGGCTGATTATTCTCTATATTATTACACCTATGATTGTGTAATCTCTTCTATTCCTCTAATTTTCTATAGAATCCATCTATCTATATTTGTTATATATAAAAGAAAATACATATAAAGAGAACTATTATACATATATAATAGAAAATACTCCGTCACAAAAAGTGGAGAGCAACTTACTAGGTGGAGTTGCATTTCCTTCTGATCTGGTCTACAATGGTGATATGTTATGGTCAGCTATAAATTTTTCTATGGTTGCAATAAGATACAAGTGAAAAATATTGGTTTAAAAATTCAAGAGTCAATGTGCATGTTATGGGTTAAAAAGGTCAAGGGGTAAATGTCAAGCCTTAAGATTTTATGGTTCAAACAAAAACTTAAGTATACCTTAAGCACCATTTTTCCTCTAAAGCTTAATTGTCCGTCCCAAACCTTAAATTAGATTCTATGAAACACAAAATTATCATAAAATATGACCATTCAATTTTCTAAAGTAAACAATTCTAATGTCCATTCAATTTTACCATCAAGTCTCAATGAAATCAACTCTGGTATACTTGAAAATTAATTTATCAAAACACAGAAATTCAAGGGAATCATTAATCACTGCGATACACACACTAACCAGACTATAATTTGAAACAGTGCCCAGCCCTGGTAGACAGTAACTTGGTTATAAGCTTTTCGAAAATAGTATGCGCTAATGACATGATGTTGATGAATATGACAAATTCTATGTTGATCGAACACATCAACTACATAATTCCCAACAACAAGAAGCAAACAATCCAACCACTTGTTCTAAACGATAAATTAACGAATGGGATTTTCAACAACTCAATTTCATAAAATAAAAACTAGTTCAGCATAAATAAGAAAATCATCAACCATAAAAACAACTCCATCGGCAGAAATTAAACGAAAAAACCTTAGCTTAAAACTTCCGCTACCATTAAACGAACCGAATGTTGAACCGATTGTATAACAGGGTACTGCCTGGTACCTTTGGTTTTATGATAAGAAGTATTCCGGTATCTTTTTTAAAACGATAACTAACTTTGGAGTGTAAAATTAAAAAGATTGAAATAGAGGAGGAATACATATTTATAGGTGGAGGAATATATTCTAGAATACTTCACATTAATGGCTAATTATATAAGATAATATTATATACTCCCTCCGTCCTAATTCTTTCTTCCCAGTTTGACTTTTCCCCATTTTTAATTTTTGGCTTTGACTTCAAATTTTATCCTCTTTAAAAAAGATTTTTTGAAAATTTGTTTTTACAATCATTCAAAATATAGAGTTAGAAGATAATTGGTGCAAAAACATGAGGGTATTAATGTCATTTGTCATCTTTTTTTCCCTATTGGGAAGGTAGTTTTAGGACGGAAAAAAAAGGGAAGTGGGAAGAAAGTTTTAGGACAGAGGGAGTATTTCATAATGTTCAAGCAGTGTAGTAAGTGATAGGATCCAAATCTAGGGTTCTGGCCTAATTAAGCTAAAGCTCTCCGATATTTATTTTAATGGTTGGATATAATAGTGACTTAGGAAAGCTTTTTCTAAATTAAAAAAAAACACGAATTTATTAATGAAATCTTGGAGATTAATACTATTCACATGTCAAACTAACTCCAATTGTTTTATATATTTTCATCGATTATTTGATAAAATAATATAACATTGTCATCACTTGTTTTAATTTGTAAAACTTTTGATGTATTTTTTAATATATATACTCCGTAATTTTTTATTTTTTAATTTTATACCAAATTTTACATATTGTTTTAAAAATAAATTTGTAACGCCCCGAAATTAGGCCTAAAAGAATTAATTAATTTAAAAATTAGTTAATGACTGAGGCAAACCCGAACACTGAAAAATAAAAGTTTCCAGAAAAATATTTTAATTATATCAAAATTCTAGTTTTGACAATCTGATTCCAAAAACGCGACCCGTTTTCAAAACGGAACAGTTTGGGCGAAAAAGCGCGTACCGTTTTAGCCAGTTTATCAGTTACGGAGTAGGAGAATATATTTGATTCCCCAAACCCTCCAAATCACGTAGAGACACTCCCCCCATCTCTTCCAATCCTCAATCAAACCACATTAGGACCCCATCACCACATCCCTCCAATTACTCTTCCCTATATTATTACCCTACCACCACCACCATCATCCTCACACATTACCACCATCATCCATCCATCATTCATCCCATCACCATCCTCTCCCTCTCTCGGCAGAAACTCAGGAGGAAGAATTCTCAACTCCATTGTTGAGCCAAGGGAAGAAGAAGGAGCAAGAAGAAATATCAAAATTTTCCAATATCCTGAGTGAAAAACGCAGCTGCGACTTCGTCGTCAATTCTGTAATTCTCTATTCATTTTCTCGAATTACTTATTATACCAAACTTGTAGCCCCGGATGTTACGAATCCAACCCAACAAACGGTTCGTGATTCCGTTAAGTAACGAAGGAGATATCGCCAAAATACCGGGACTGCGTCAGTGGTGACGAGTTCCACGGGTTGGCTATGTTTTCTTCATCATATCCATATCTTTCATTCAAAGTGCTTACCATAAAACTCATATTTTCTTTTCCAATCATTCTCTCTTGTTGGAAGATTCATTCAAGCAAAG